CTCTCTCTCTCTCTCTCTCTCTCTCTCTCTCTCTCTCTCTCTCTCTCTCTCTCTCCCCGCCCTCCCTTCCTCCCCCTGCTTCCTGCACGAAAGGACGCCGCCCCGCCCGTCGTCTCACCGGCAGTCGATTCATCCCATGGCACTTCCCGCTCCGCCCCGCCCCGCCCTGCCCGTTGCCTCACCTGTAGTCGATTCATCCCATGGCACTTCCCGCTCCGCCCCGCCCGTTGCCTCACCTGTAGTCGATTCATGGCACTTCCCGCTCCGCCCCGCCCGTCGCCTCACTGGTAGTCGATTCATCCCATGGCACGTCCCACACCTCCCCGCCCTGCGTTGCTTCAGCCCCGATTGCCCGACCCGGTACGTCCGACGCCGGACCGGGTGCTCTTCTGCCTGCGCGCACCGGGGATTTTTCTGCCCCTCGCCCGGGGCTCCACCGGTTCCTCCTTATCGCTGCCCATCACCAGTCCTGCGCAGCGCCGCCCGGCTTCTGTTGGGGCCCACGCGAGGACCGCTGTTTCCTTTAGTAGTATATAGGGATAATGTTCGCACATGCCTGTTGACGAGAGGCGGTTAACAGAGGCCCGGATTTTCAGACAATTTGGCACGCCCTTTATGACAAAACCCAAGGGTCATTTTAATCAAGCTTGCCACCAATTCATAGAGTGAAACTTCAGAAATTTCAGAAATGTCGGCAGAGGAATTTCCGATGCTCCAAATTACACCAAATTTGGCACACGACCACCTTTAACCAAAACTAAAACAGTCAAACAAACAGCAAAAAAAAAAAAAAAAAAAAAAAAGTTCAAAAAACATAAAATTTAAAACTACGGAACTGAAAGTGGGGGTCCCTGTTAACCACTAGTGCTGTTGTTATGATGTTCGGTGCAATGTACATAGCAGTGATAGCCCATATATTAATATGGTAAATACAGTATTGTTATGTTATTCACACAATATTGTTGTGGCTCTGCCGCACACTGCTTTGTAATTACATATGTATGATGCGTGTAAATGTATCCCAGTGATGATGTGCATACGCGCCTGCGTAATTCTGGATTCTTGACAGAAGGTATGATATTGATAAGTATGGATGTGATGTCCACCATGTAATTGGTTATGATAGATGTGCATGCCTGTTGCTAGAATGTGATGCACACTGCGTATTCACTTGCGTTGTGCCAGTAAATGCCAATCACGGCTTGTACATGCCTGCTTAGGAATTAATCCCCGGAACTGCACTGGTGACTGGTGTTGCCAGTCGTTGTCTTCACTCCAATGCAGTAAGAAGATTAGATGCTGCTGACCTGTGGGCTGGTCAGATGAATTCTGACTGCTGAGCATATAAGTATTCCCGGTGTCACAAGGTAGTAGTGGATGTAAGGGAGGGCCACTTGGGTGTCTGATTCATTTCGATTACAAGTGCATTGCAAGTGGCATTTGCACTGAATGGTGTAGGTGTCTGGTTGTATGGCCTTAAGGTCAGGGTTTCGGGTGCACGATATGATTTGGTAGAATCGACAGTTCAAATCTTTTGGAAAAGCTGGATGGTTATGGTTTGAGAGGAACTGGTTTGGCACTGGTTGATTGACTGTGCGGAAAACCTGGGAAAGTGCTCTTGTGCTCTTCAAGGGGGCACCGGGATGGTGTTCGTTAATTAGCTGTGTGAAATGTTTGGTGAAATGCTCTTAGCTCCTGGGTTAGGCCAACGCCCGGTCCAGACGGACTGGGGGGGGTCCGTCCGGCAAAACGAGACGAGCCAAAGAACATGCCAGGAATTTTTTTTATTTTTTTTTGAAGATGGGGTTGGACTGCGCTTGCTGAGAGGAGCCCAAATCCGCAGAGAAACTTGTGAAAGGCATGTGTGTTGGGGGAGGGGTGTGACAAGGGGGTAAAATGGTTTGCTGCAGCAGCCAGTTGGCTGAGGGTAGGGGTTAGAGGAGGGGGAGGAAGAAGAAGAAGACGCCACATCCTTGTCTGCTCTCGTCCTTCCAGACCCGCCCCTCCCGGCGCCGACACCGCTGCCAGTACCCGCCATAATGTCGTGGATGTCGAGGATGCAAGGACCAACAGCTAGGGAAAAAAGAAAGTAAAAATATTGGAAGAAGAAGAAGAAGAGAAAGAAGAAGAAGAAAAAGAAAAAGAAGAAGAAGAAAAAAAAGAAGAAGAATTAGGAGAAGAAGAAGAAGAGGTAGTAGAAGAAGAAGAAAAAGAAGAAGAAGTCTGTGCGGTTGTGAACGGGCTTCGCAACAGGGAATGCCACGTTCAAATTCGAATGCGGCATCGTAGCCCGCCAGAGGGGGAACCCATTTCTTGGCGGCTGATCTCAGCCACTGATCTTTGCAGATCGGCGACTGGGATCAGTCGCCAGAGAAGACCTTCCCCGCCCCCTAAAACTGGTCATAGATCAAAAACAATAGGAACCGGACTGATGCTCCCCAGAATGGAAATGGAGCCAGGACCATAAGGGCCTGTTTTAATTTAAAAAAAAAAAAAAAAAGATGCAGCAGGCTGTAGAACAGATGCAAAAGGCACAGGCGGCTATGGTAGAATCTGCGAACAAACACCGCCATGAGTCTTCATTTCAGGTTGGGGACAGGGTCTGGGTTAAGTCCTCAGAACTGGGACAGGAGCACGGGATCTCCCGCAAGCTCATGCCATACTACTTTGGACCTTGGGAAGTTTTAGACATCGTTGGGACAGAGCGGGATGGGCCATCTTATGTTATCCGGATCCCTGGTCATCTTCGAACTTACCCTGTCTTTCACGCCTCCAAGCTTGCACCTTTCAAGGAAACAGATGAGTTTCCTTCTCGTCGCTCAATGCTGCCGCCAACCATGGATGGAGAAGTGGACATCGATGACATCGTGGATCACAGGGAGCTGCCAGCTCAGAGACCTGCAGGAAGGGGACGTCCTCCGAAACTGAAGCTGCAGTACCGCGTTCGGTTCAGACATCATACTGATCCCAAGGAGGACCGTTGGTTCACGAGAGAAGAACTCATGCAGACCGCTGCCCACTATGAGAAATCTCTGCAGAAGGGAAAGCGCCCCATGATTGAAGACTGAGCTTCTCAGAGGACTGTTGAAGCTAAGGAGGAGGGAATGCGAGGCCACTGCCTCTATGAGCCCCATAAGGCCCCATTTTGCAGCCCGTCGGCCGCCCTAAGTGAAGGCAGGCTTGACGAGGGCCTCAGGGCCCTATTCTGGCCACCACGCAACTCAGGGAAATTCAGGCAGTTGTGCAGCGCCAGTTGGTTGAGTGAACCCAGGCCCTGGGCCGCCTGTGTGAATGCATGAGAAGCAGGCCCTGGGCTGGATACGGGTACTGGGCCAAACACAGGCCAAAGGCAGTTGGGCACATGCAACCACCTCAGGCCCAAGGCCTCTTCTCGTCGTGCTGGGCCTCAGGCTACCAGGGCCTACTGGAAGCTTCCTGGGACAGGACGCAGGCAGGCCACTTCGAAATAGCAAAGGGCCTGCCTCCGCATTCGGCATTTGGGTGCTGGCTGCATGCTGCGCAAGCGCTGCTGCGCTATTTGCTGGCTGGCGCCTACGCTCACAGGGGCGAGCAGGGAAGGAGCACGCAGCCATAGCCGAGCTGCGCTGCTGTAAGCTGGGTGAGGCGCAGGGTGGTCCTTGGGTGCTAGTGGCATCTGTGTGTTGGGGAACGAGGTTGTGAGTGTGGCGAGAGACATACCTGGTGCTGGAAGCGTGCGACATTGGTCGCCATATGCTCGTACTTCGGGAAAGCTGTTGACGTCATCTTTCGGCATCGTAGTATAGGCTAGATAGGATCTGCCATCTGTAGTCTGGCTGCCGAGCGCCAGATAGGATATCAACTCTGGTTCTTCGTTGATGATGATGGGACTATTTCAGCATTGTCAATTATGAACTCTTGGTGTGTTCTTATTTGGTGAATCTCGTGATGCAATTCTGTTGTTGGTTCCAGGTCAAGACTAAAAAAAAAAAAAAAAAAAAAAAAAAAAAAAAAAGAAACAAAACTTGTGTTGCTGGAGGCTGGGGAGGCGACCACTAGCCGAAAACGGCCTCCCCGTCCGCCCGCGCGAAATTGTGCTGGGCTCGTCTGGCCCCAAACCGGGGCACCCAACCGGCCGGGCCGCCCAGGACCCCTGCCAGACGAAGGCCAGGCCACCAGACGGTCCGGAGTTTAACACAGCTTAGCACCCAAACCTGCCACAAATCATTCTTGACAGATCTATGCGGCCTGGCAAGGGTACTCGAACGAAAGCACATTCGGTCATGCCAACAATATTGCATCGATGTTGATACGCAGTTGATGCGCAGTCTTTTCATCTTTCTTGGTCTACGTTTCTGTGATTAGTTTCACCCAAGTTGGAGAGTAGAGTTTATAACTTTATAACCAATGGGCTCTGTCTTCACCCGTATAGAACTCCCATTCATTATAGCTATATTTGGGCCCCCTTCCAGTCTTGATACAGCTGTTGATGAGCGAGCGTTCTATCCGGGTGAACTTCAGCAGTTCTTCGTCGCTTGTTCAGGCAAGGTGTACCTTAACAGCAAGGAAGGGAGGGGAAGAAGCGGTGGTTTGGAAACAAAGTGCTTTGGTTTTCGAAATGAATTGCTTTGGCCTTCAAGTAAAGGAAGCGGCCCATGCTTTGCAAAAATCTGAAGAAAATTGCTCGTGGTCCCCTTCCCCATCTCCTGCCCCCGTCCTTGTCATCCTCGTCTGTAATTTGCGTACTGCTTGTTTTGCAGGAACACAGTCATCTATTCAGCAAAGTGTCGTTTTGAGGACATCCCTGAGCGTGTCGCCTTGAAGGCCTATGTGAAGGAACGTCTCTCTGGCATTGACATTCACCGAATACGGCGGGAGGTGACTATTGTCCGGTCATTGCACCATGAACACATCATCCAGCTACTTGGTGCCTTTGAAGATGACAGATTTGTCTACCTTGTGCAGGAGCTAGGTGCAGGTGATCTGTTCAATGAGCTTAGCAAATGTCGTGGCAGAATGACTGAAGAGCGGGTTGTTTTGCAAGTCCTCCTGCCAGTCTGCAGCGCTTTAAGGGTAAGAAGATTACCGAAAAGGCAAGGAAGCTTTTGCATCAATTCCTGGTGATGTTGAATCTTGTTTGTTTCCCATGATGATGACAAATGAAGGAGACCTGTCCAAGCTCTTGTTCGTTCAATGGTTGATGCGGGTGCCTTGTGAAGGAATTTCGCTGTTATACTCGGAGAGATTTGAGAGAATATACAAAAGTTGCTCAGTTTTTTTTTTTTTTTTTTTTTTTTTTTTTTTTTGAGGGACCTTCCCTGGCCGGGCTGCCCGGCCGACCAAAGGTGACCCGAGCGGCCTGGTTGGTACTGCAGTCTGTGACTTCATTTGGGCTGGCAAATTTGGAACTGCAGAATAGTCCTTCAGTTTCTACCGTTGCAGCCCTTGGCTGCTATTTTCAGCTGTCTGCTTCTCGAGTTGCATACATAGGAGTGAAAAAGGTTTCTTTTTTCTTTTCTAATATGTCGGTTAGAAATGGCATGTGAATCAACCCACCATACTACAGCTGGCTGGCCGGGCCTGCCTCAGCGCATTCCAACTTTCCTACCTCCCTTTGATCTTAGCAGCCATGATTTGAAGTGAGGCGCTTCTCAATGGTCGTCTTCAGGATCATGTTTGGCCGCCACGTATCCATACCACCCATTTCATGCCTGCCCTATCTCCCACAAAGGCTGTCTAACCCCTAACAGCTGGCTGACAACATCCTCATCCTGCGTACCCCTGCCGTTGCCTGGTTTCCTGCTTCCTCCTAAGTGGGGGTGCAACTGTGCTTCCCGCAGCAGATGGGTGTGTAGCCACTTCCCGCTCAACTACACGAAAGTCGGTAACCTTTAAGCTGTGAAAAGTAAGAATAGTCGAAGAAGAGTAGAAAAAAGAAAAAGGAAAAGGATGAAAAAAGAAATAAGTCAGGGTGTGCTTCCTTTCTTCTGTTTCTCTTTCTCTTATTGTCTTTCTAACAAAGGGCGTATTAGATTGTAGCTCTGGATGTGATAGAGAGAGAGAAAGAGAGAGAGAGAGAGAGAGAGAGAGAGAGAGAGAGAGAGAGAGAGAGAGAGAGAGAGAGCACATGACCACATAAGATGCTTTTCAGCTGACATTTCATCATGCGGACTCCTATGTTTGTGGCTTTTACAGGGGTATGAAACCACCAGTGTGTATCCCGGCTGTTTTTCTCCCATGCCGAGCCTGGCGGGATGGGCCAGCATGTAGTTTTGCTTAGAACATCCACACAAAACAGGACCACAGCGCTGCTCACTTTGCCTCGATGTTTCCTAAGCAAAATGAGAGGCCAGTGTATCCCGGCAGACACGGCGTGCACACAGCCGCGTTGTAGAAAAATGGCTGGGAAACGTAATGGTCGTTTACCACGGACAGGTAGAATTGTAACTATGCCAAAGCAAACAGTGCACCTGTCTCTTCAACTGGTAAAATTGTGACCATGCATCAGTATACAATAAATCGCAGTTTCCCAGTGGGCCTGTACGCTTAAGTTTGGCTTCGTAGTTTGTTTTCTTGTTCTGAGCCTTGCGGGACTTGATCCCGTGACCTGTAACTCGTGTGTTTGGTTTGTGAGTGCTTCGTCCTATGGGACTTGATCCCTAAGTCTGTCAGTAGTAGCCTCTGTTTGGTAGCCTTAGGCCATTTGGCCTTTTCCTTTTGCCTTGTCATAGGTCTAGATCCCCTGTTCCCCCTGTTTCCATCTAGATGCAGATGAGTATTGGGTTGTTGCCTTTGGAGTCCGTCGTAGGTCTAGGCAGGGGGTAGAAGTAGCGGGTAGGAAATTTGGTGTGGGTCTTTTCAATCGGGTACATAACAGTTGGTATCAGAGCTGCGACCGTGTGCAACTGGCGAGTGATTGAGTGGCAACCTCCTTTCTGAGCGGCGGTTGTCCGCTTTCTTCAACGGACGTCGTTGGTGAGAGCTGGTGGAAGGTAGTGTGCAAAGGGAGAATTGCCGCTATCAAAAATAAAAATAAAAAAATGCGGAGTGGTCGAAAGTTTCAGCCGGCGAGAGTGGAGCTGAACGGTGCATCAACCCTAAGTGGACCGGTTGACCTGAGGGCCTTGTGACCCTCAAGTTACAGCCCTTGCCTGTCAACGGTGTGTTCGACCGTCTGGGCCTGCTGTGGCTACTTCGACGAGTTACTTGATTGGAAGACTGTGGGAATCTTCGCTGCAGGTCTGACATCAGCGTCAGCCTGGTTCTACAATATTCTGCTGCAGATTGGCGGTCAATGGTTGACCGCCCGGATATCTTCAATCAGGTTTCGTTCAAGTGAGTCCGTTCCGTATATTTCCTGGTCCGACGTCAGACCCTGTCTGTGTCTGTCAGTATCTGTCAGTCGTCAGTCCATTTGCAGTCTAGATCAGACCGGTTGTCAGTCAACGTTTTGGCTGTTTCTGACCCATCTCTAAGTTTGTTTTAATCTCATAATGGAATTGCTTTGACCTACCCTGGCTTGATGTGATTGCCTGCCAGTACTGCAAGTGCCTACTGTAAACCGTGTCTGTTTCAGCCGCCTGTTTCGGCCTGTCAGGCAGTCCTCTCTGTTTGCAATTACTATATGCAGTCAGAAATGTGTCAGTCCGTTAATGTTCACTTCTGCCTGCATCAGATGTAAGGTCCTTAGTCAAATGGCATATTCGAATCTTGATTAGAGCAAGGAATGCAGACTGCATTTACGGTTTCTGAAATCCGCCTGGGTTTTGTTTTTTATTTTCATTTTTCTCCTGATTGCATAAATTAAGTCTCTCTCTCCCTTGCTGTGAAATGCTGACGGTTGCGGGAAGGCTCTGTTGTGAGCCTGATCAGAAAAGAAAAGTTTCCGTTTCTGATTTGGTTGTGGGCTTAGGCTGTTGGGCTGAGCCCATAACCTCTCATACTGTCTTTTGACATTTGGCATAGCCGGCTGTATTCCCCATACCACTAAGTAACACAGTTTAACTCTAATTATCTGGGTTCTGAGTGCGAACGGTAATCTACTAATCTGAGTATTCCACTTTTTTTTTTTTTCTAACAAATAAATAATTTTTGATGGGAAGATATTCGCTGGTCGAGGTTGGGTCCATGTGCGATTGGGTGTCAGTCACTGTTGTCAGTCTCTGCTCCTGAAAACAGTCCTACGCAGTATTGGGAATTGGTAAGTGACCCCATCAGCGGGAGGTCACAGATCAGTTAAGACTGCCATTGGAAGTACAACCCTGTTGGTCAGTCTTGGTGGTCAGAGTCATTCCCGTGAGCCTGTCAAGTCTGTTAACTTGTTCGGGTTGGGAATCAGCACCATATTCCATATCTGAGTAGACTAGTGAATGGGCTTCAGCCTTTGACCACTTTTGCGTTTATCTTGCTATTTCAAAAGAACCTTCTGGAATGGGGGAAGAGAGTTCAGTCAGTGCAAGGAATTGCAAGTTGCCTGTCACCGAGCTCAATATTGGAGTAGGTAAGGCTGCAGAGGCAGCTCGGTTGCAGTTGGAGCAGACGGGTGAGGCAGAAGGAAGGAAGGCCGAGACAATCCAAGGAAGTGAAGAGGGAAGAACACCCCTCCTGGGATGAAAGTTTGACTTTGATGGTGGACAGATTGTCCATCATTGAAACCAAACTCTCCTCCCTTGCAGATTCCTTCGATCGTTTTGTGGCAGCTGTTAATCTATGTTTCCTCCCTACTCCTACTCCTACTCCTACTGCTACACTCCATTCCCATGCAAGGTCCTCTGCTGCTGCATCATCCCAAGCCAGTAGCCCTAAGAGCAGACCGGCTACACCTCCAAAGGTGCAGTCCCTGCAGCTTGTGGCAGGGCACCTTGTGACTTCTGAGGCTAAAGTAACTGCAGGCCAAGGGCAGCAGAAATCGAGGCGCCCCAAGACGGTCCAACCTGAAACATTTGTTGGGGATAACCCCAAAGTGGATGTAGCAGATTGGACTGCCTCGATGAGAACCTCAAGGACTCACTTGCCCAGAGGTTACCAAGGTCCAGTCCACTGTGGCCCATTTGGGAGGGCAGGCAGTTCAGTGGGAGAATTCTGAGGCCAAGCAGGCCCAGAAACAGCTGGCCAACTGGGCCGTTACAGTAGGATTGGACCACATATTTAAGGGTCTGGAGGAGAGGTTTGCCAATCGAGAGAGAGCCAAGAAAGCTGCTGCAGAGCTTGTGAGGATATGCCAGTCACAGTGGCAGGGATCCCTCTCCAAGCTCTACGCAATTTGGGAAAAACTAACCTCTGCCCCTGGGTTATCAATGTCTGACCAGGAGAAATTGCAATTGTTTATCCAGGCTATCCCGATAACCTATGTACAGACCCTGTTTACTGCAGGTCACAAGGACTGAAGGGCCTTTGGCCGAGCAGCCTTGGATCTGGAGGCCAAGCTCCAAATCCAGTCCACTTCCCTGGGGGGAAGCACTTCCCCTTCTCGGAGTCAGAGGAAGAGCAAAGGGAGGTGGCACGCAATGGAGTCTGTGGAAGACTCTGCAGGCTTTGACCGGAGAGGATTGACTCCCTCAGCTGGTCAAGGTGCAGGAGGCTGTCCTTTGGGACATCCGTTAAAATTGGAACGATACAGAGAAGATTAGCATGGCCCCTGCGCAAGGATGACACGCATAAATCGAAAAAAGAAAAAAGAAAAAAAAGGTGCAGGAGGCTTCCCAGACCAGGCTATTCTGGCTTTGGCTTGGGAACTGGTAAGCGCAATGAAGGGCGCAAATCCGCTCCAGAGACAAAGGTCCCCCTCTCCTATGGGTCTGGCAAACGCCCTTGTGGATCTCAGAAGCAAAACCTGCGCAAGTTTGCCAAATGTCCAGCTAACCCCATGGATCCTTCCTCTCTCCCATGGGAGGGACTTGCATATCCCAGATGGGCTATGGCAAAAGAGGAAGGATGCCGGTGTCTGCCTCAGATGTGCTGGGCAACATTTTGTCAAGTATTTGCCTTCATGGGGCAACCACTACGCTGTAACCTGACCCAGTCAGCAGTGGATTCTGCTGAGCTGAGTATCCGTTAGTTGAAGAAAGATCAGG